TGATAACCCCCTACTGACCTGAAAGCCAGAGCCATAGCAAGCAAATAAAAACCCACCATCTTTCCATGCGTATTGCTCCTACAATGTTTTCCAGTTTGAGTAGGGACACCGCCCTTTCTATTTCATCTTTGGTGTAAGTTTTCAGGTACACTTTATATGCTGATGACTTCCACCTACCTAGTGTGCAAATTTGATTTATTGGTATCCCTAAGGCATGGCGTAGTGATGCGCCGCCAACTTGAAAGGAGTGACCAGTTATTCCTGAGAGGCCTTCTCCACGCAAGAATAGCCCTATTTTTTCATAATGTCTTCTTGTGTTAGGTGTATTCGGTCGTTGCCGATGAAGTAGCCAAAAAGTGACGTTTCGATACTGCGTGTCTCGGCCAAGCGTCTACAGACCGCCCTTACTGGGCACAAGTTTCTAGGTTGTGATGCAAGCTTGATCTGTTGTATCTTGCCCGGCTTCGCTGTTTTTGCACCGTGAAGGGATAGTATTGCTATATCATTTGTTTTACTGCTCCTGAAAGTCACGCCTGAAGTCAGAATGGAGTCTGTTCTGTTTAGCCTTCCCTGCATTTTTGAGTAAGTCATTTCCTTCATCCAGCACATTCCTCAGAAAGCTTCAAGTGAAAGGTCTGCCACAGCTTTGTCCAATGCGTCCCCTGCGTTCAGCTGCTCAACAATTAATTTTAGTTGGTATAGATGCAAAGCCGTTTGTTCAGATTTTAGCTTGAACTCTGCGTCTTTCTTTGTGCATGCCTTCAGGATCAAGTTTACTGGGTATGTGAAGCCATGAAAGTTGTGCCCCACTTGGATGGCAAACAGATATTTTGAGAGTGTGACCGATGTAATCACATTAGTCTCTTTTAGGGAGGTCCTGCCCGCCCACAGGCAGAATTCGAAGAGGTTGTCTGATGTTGCTGGTAAGCAGAAAAATGGGGTCTTTGCTGCTTTGAATTTCAAGAATTTTTTAACTCCTGCGTTGTAACTCAGGATTGTTGACCAGCTCCAAGCACTTAATATGTGTTGGTGCTTCCAATTAATGTTTGCTTGCTTTGTCCGTGTAGATGTAGTGTTTAATTTTTGAGTTTGTCTTTTTTTTACCAGTGAAAGTGTCTTCAAATTTTTGGTACAACAATAAAAGATAAAAGAAGACATGGGTTTAGGACCAAAAAAGGGTTCTCAATTTAAATGTATTTACAATCTTTATACGGATCTCACAATCTCAATCGGGAGTCTGTATTCTACGTACAGCTATAGCTCTATCCCAAACACCTGAAACAAAGATGCATTTAAATCTAGTGGGACTTCTTTGTCAACTTTGTCATACCTCATCCTATCCATTCTTATCCCTCTAGACAGTTTGTCCACTTTATTATATGCTGAAGGTATCCTCTTTGCCACTATGTTGATGTCGTTGTCAATTAGAAAGCTTTGGATCATTTTTCATTCTGAGCTGACCAATTTTTTGTGAGCTTTTCTTTGTTTTATGGCCCCTTCCAATGTCGTATTGTCTGTCCACAGGATGAACATTTTCCCCCGTTGAAGGCCAATCTTCTCTAACATCACCAGTCCCAAGCGCGTACTGCCACCGTTTCTAACCAGGCTATTCCCCGAACGGATTGTCCAGATCTTCTCCATCCCTTCTTTAGTTGGAACTGTGCCCAGAAGGAGCCAATGATTACCCCGATGCCGAAACTGGTACTTGCATCTCCTACCCATCCTATCTCTGTGGCTCCTTTAGGCCTAATTAGCCTTGTTCTATTGAAGTTTCCAGGGTCTCTTTCCAAATGGATAAGTCTTGTATTGCTTTGGGTGAAACAGGTTGGGTCCGTTCTCAAAATACCCAACCGCAGAGGATGGCGTAGAGCACGCATGAGTAGCACTTGAGCTGAGGGAGTATGTATGTGACATGGTTCAGGTGCCCTACTATAATTTCAATATCTGTGTACGTCACCATTTGGCCTTTCTTCAAGAATTCTTCTATCTGGGATATTCTTTTGAGTATCTTCTCTTTTGGTAGCCTCACCGTCCTGTCTACCCCGTTCCAGATGAAGCCAATGAATTTCTATTCCTCTTGAAAGGGGGAGTTCTCGTTATGTTTGTCAACACCCCTAAATCTGACGACTTTTGTACTATCTCTTCCATACTTGTTGTACAGTCAACGCTTTTGACAAATAGGTTGTTGTCAACCCACCTGAATATTGTTATTAGATCAAAGTAATGTAGCATAATTTCCTTCCATGCGTCTGCCGGCTGTCCAAAGGATCCACAGCCTGCCACTCCCCCAAATGTTATGCGGGTGTCCAGCAGTAAGTTGCCATCAAAGTTCTGGACCATAAGGTATTGCCATTGGTCCATGGCGGTTGGGATTTATCTATATGCTTTTTCTCAGTCAAACAAGGCTAGATGAACCGGTTCTGATAAGTTTTGAAAGAAACGTGATACTTTGTTGAAGTTGTCCCAGGTTGTGGTGAAGTTTTTCTTGTCAACGAAGGAGTTCACCAATGGTTGGTCTCTGCGGTTCTTAGGGTAGCTTAGATTGTTTATTGGTCTGACAGAGCTGTCGCCGTTCACTACTGCCCCCATCGGGCTTGAGCAAAAAAACGGAAAAACAGTCACCACTTGTGCGTGCGTGAATGGACCAAACATCCTTCTGGCAGAAATCTCTTTTTCTGTACTCTTCTCTATCTTCTCTTTGCTCTGGGTAGCTGACGCATGGCTGTCTGGTGTCAACCATCTGAGGTTCCCGACTGAGTGGTGGGAGATTCCTTGGTCGAATCCATTGAGTACGTCTTGGTACTCATCCTTGATATTAGCTTCTGTCAAAGCCGCTTCCCATTCTGATATGTTCATCTTGCATTTTATCTGTAGTGGCCAGTCAAGTAAATCCTTGCACCTTTTTTTTAACCAGTGTATTTCAAGATTTGACAGAAAAATGAGGTAGAGACAAGAAGTCAGACACTAGGTCTTATTTACCACACATGTGTTTTATAGGTAAAGAAAATTGTTTGATCTGGTTTGCTATGATACAAAATGATACAGAGCTCAGAGAAAGGTGTGGATGGGATGTCCTCTCAGGAAAAAGGTATACCTACCCGCTCCTTTTCTTCTCCCCACCATTCTCGCTTCCTCTTCCACCCCAGTTGCCACAACCTCCTCTGCCTCGGTTTGAGGTGTTTCAAAAACCTGAGCTTGGGTTTCCAGAGTTTCTGAGGGAACTTGTGTCTCCTCGCATCTCTTGGTGATTGGTTTGATGAGGGTTTTCCCCCTGACTGGAATGGTAGTTGTGGCTGTTGCTCGAGTAATGGCTGGGTTGGCTATACATATGGTTGGTCTTGGGTCTACGTTCCTCACCTGAAAGAGGGTCCCAATTCTCTCTTTCTCCACCTTTGGTGTAGGGGTTGTTGGTGAAGCCAAGCTCTTGGAACTTCTGGGATTGCGAATAGCAGATCTGCCAGATGTCTGTCTTGAATTTGGAGATATCCGGAACCATCTCCGTTCCATTTCAGCCGTAAACCCTGTGAGAGAAAGTGTTCTCCCTGGTCATCATATCATATCTAAATGCTGGCATAAAGCCATGATGCTTGTGGAGGTTATCCACGTGTTGCTTGTGTATCCTGATCCACCCGGCAAACACCAATAAGTCGTACACGTCGGGAAGGAGTTTGTGGAAGGTCTTGTGGTTCATGGACCAGCTGGTGTAGGTCTGTGACCACTTTTTCAGGTACAGGAGGCCAGAGTATTGTGACACTTTATCAGAGCTTGAGTCTTCTGATTTTGTGCGTTTCTCAACGTGGTAGGTGAGGGCCCCTTCTTGCCAATCCTTGTCAAAGATGGTCAGGGGTAGCCTTCCAGACAAGACCGGCATATATGCTCGGGTTCACTTTCATGGGGTTCCGTTTGAACTTTGGCAAGCATCTGGTGCCTCTGGTCGGTTGGTCTTCTTCTGCAATTTTAGTGTGGAGCAGACCTTTGAGCATCTCAACGGAGTTGGTGTCTCCACGTAGTGTCGCCATCTTGATGTTCTTGCAAAGGATCTTGTTATGGTTTCTTTTGATGATGGCTTGAGACATTGGCTGAAGCTTGTAATCCAAGTTGCTCGATTCTTCTTTGTTACCTCCTAAACCTAGGAAGGCTTCTTCGCCGACGGTGCTTCTTAGGTCTACCTTAACTGGATGGCGTTTCTCAGCTTTGCTGCAACTAATGGCAATGCACGGCCTAATAAAAGGAGTGGCTTGTAAGTGACTGTACCTTAATGTGCTGAGACATGATGGGGGAGGTATCTCACCTTTGCCTTTCACAGCCCTTGTCTTCCTCTTTGGGGCTTCTCTATCTGCCGGGATAGTCTGATCTCGCGCCGTGGCTAGGCCTGTCTCTTTGGGGGTATCTTTTGCGACCGGTTCAGGTACAAGGAGCCTTTCTATGGACGTGTTGTCTGTGGCAATATTGTTAGCGGTGCTCTGGGCCTGTGCGGCTGTGGCAGGAGACATGTTTGCTTGGTTAGGGGACATCTGCACGAGTATGTGTATGTTAGTGAAAATCTCTTAGTGGAGAATAAACTCTGCAGTCTTGTGAGGACTGAACTTGTTCTGTAAGGGACGAGGTAGATGTTGATATGCGCTTGGGAAGGTATAGTCTTCTTGTTGAGAATTTTGGGTATGATTGTTCTGGTGATAGGTTTTTGTCTGGAGTTTCTGAGTGAATTTTGGAAAAAAGGAGATAAGTGTTGGGGTATGGGAATGAGATTTGGATAGCTGGTGTGGGAAGTAGACAGTCGCGGGGAAGTGTTCCCTTCTTAAAGGCAGGATCTCCCGCTTACTGGTAGGTTGGTAGTTGCCTTGGCCTTAGGTTCTCTGACTGCCTTGGTCCTGGACTTGGCCAGTTCGGGACTGTTCACGTCAGGCGTACCAGGGTCCCATGGACTTTGACTGCCTCCCTTTAGCAGCAATCCTCAAGGAAAATCAATTTGAGGCTGAATACGTACCTCGACTTTCCTGCCTGGGATGTGATTCTCTTCCTGTTTTTGATACCTGAGGGAATTACTGGGATTCTGAATTGAATTTATGAAACTGGTTTGAGGGAATTGAAAAGACTCAAGTGGCAATTCAACATTACTTCTGAGCCATTCAGTTAATTTCATCTTCACTTGGAGTCTTCTGGTTTTTGTTCTTGATGGAAGTAAAATTAATGATTGGATAAGAAGGAAATGCAGGTTGATGATGTGGTAGAGGTCTACTCCTGAGTCTCTCAAGAGGGTCCGAGTTCTTGAAAACAGTCATAATCCGCAGATGTTACATTCATATGATATTCCACTATCAAAAACTTACTCAGTGAACTGTGCTAGTTTATGACCAAGAATTAATCTCATTTATAACTCCTATGTGATGAAGAAATTATATGGTTAGTAAAAAACTTAATCTTAAAATCTTAATGAAGGTTTCAAGTTCTAAATTGAGTAACATTAGATCCCAATAATTATTGAATGCTGAAAATTACTAAACAAAACTTAATAAAATGAACATTCAAGTTGAAAATTGCTAAAAGAACTTTGATCTTAATGAAGATGGCAGTTGACCATGGTTCAACAGAAATTTAATAATATTCTAATAAAGAGAGAAGAAGTTTTGGATGTATTTGTGTGATCAGTTTGGAAGTGTTGAACATTACTAGTAAGAAATTTAAGTTAATTAACTTGCATCTTGATCAATATTATATAAGTTCACAATTTTGGATCTCAATCAACATGTCAAGTATGCTAGAAAACAAATTTCAACATTAGCAAACTTGGATCTTAATTGATAAAGATTGTAAGCCAAAGATTGCTAAAAAGACATTGAAAATTTACCAAATTGGATCTTCAAATTGCAAGTCGGCTGAAAAAGATTGAAAGCTAGTAACATCATATCAATCAATCTTGCAAGTAGAATATTTCTATCAAGACATTCAAAAGTTAGTGAAATTTAATCAACACTTGATCTTTATCAACAGCACTTGGCCTTGATCAACAACACTCAATCTTGATCAACAACACTTGATCTTGATCAAGAACACTTGAGCTTGATCAACAACACTTGATCTTGATCAACAACATTCTTCATTAGGAGGTATCAAATATAGGAAATCCACCATTAGAAACTAGTCACTTTCCCCAAAAAAAACTTTTGCATCAATGGGCCCCAAAAGGTTAAATGGATAACCAACATGTTTAAAAAAGGGTGGATTTTTTCAAACCAGTCAATTAACTAGTGGTGGATTTGGTTATATTTGATACCCCCTATTGATGAAGATTGAAAGTTGAACATTCCTAAAAGGAAATTTGAATAAATTTACTAAAAAAAGTATCATAAACCACATAAAACAAAACCTGTGTGACACCATTTTCAATAATCAGCTTGTCTGTAACAAAACCAAGTGATTACTCCAATTAAATCTGAACAAAAAACTGATGTCTTTCTTTTGAAAATGCAGCTTTTTGAAATGAGTATGAACTGTGAAATCAGTATCTATCATCCATATGAAAACCAAGTCATCTGAAATAGGTGGGATAGGTGCAATTAAATTGTGAATGGGAAAATTAAGCAAGAAGTTATATACATATCACAACATATATCAGGAGAATGAAGTGTAAATAGTCATTTGCTATTCAATAGCAGGGAACCAATATTGCAGAATCTACTGGTTCTGTTTGTATTCTCCTTTCAAACAGAAACATGATTGGCATTTTCATAGCTTCAGACACAAGAGCGAGGAGCTCATTATCTAGATCAGACATGATTGGGGCCGCTTGAGACCGACAGAGTGCATATATGAACTATTGAAGAAACGTATCCAGAGATACTCTACACAATACAACAAGAGATAGCTGAAAAAGAGGAAGCAAAACTCAGTTCGAGGTCAGTAAGTATCTGATATGAGCAGTGCAGGAGGGGATCTCGAGTTGGGTGAGTTTAGGCGTAGGTGGTCAACCAGCTGAAGAGGAGGGATGATTGGATCCTTTTTGTGAGTTTTTTGAGATGTCGAGGCGTTAGTTGAGGAGCTGAGGATGGAAGTGTTAGTCAGTGGCTGGGTCAGAGTGCGTTGACAGGGCGGTAATTTGCTGAAGAGACGTGAGGTATTGAGGGTAGTAGAGATGACGTAACTGGTTGAAAGATGCGGTTGGTTTTGCCAAAACGGGGATTCACCAATCCCACCAACAGGCCTGATTGAGATGATTGAAGGGGTTGATTGCTGAGGATTGGGTGAAGAGGTCTTGGATGAGAAATGTTTGACTGGGAGGTTTGAGGATGTTTGGTTTTGGTTTGAGCACAGAAGATGATGAGTGTGAGCCAAGGCAGATGATATCTTGGGTTGATTGTGAGAGGCTGAGGATGCGATCGAGGCCATAGATCTGGAGGCCATAGTCACAGGCCATGTCGAGTGCAAGCAAGTAATAGTTTTCCACAGGGAGAGAAGGCGATGGAGTTACAGGGACAGGTTGATCTATGATTGGATGAGGAGTCAAGCTCTGGTTTGGAGGTGGGATGGTGTGTGCAGGGTAGGGTGACAAGGAGGGCTCTGCCGGTGAAAGTCCCAGGGGCAACAAGATCGAAACCCTGACAAGTGGCACTCCAATCGACACTGTAGGGATTGTGGGGTGGAGAGGAGGCAGAG